TTTGAGCAGCTGGATGTTTGAGCAGCTGGATGTTTGAGCAGCTGGATAAGACAGATGGAGCAGTGTGATTTCTACCTTCTGTGCTGAGTCCAGGACTGGAAGTGAACTGGGCCACATCCACGATTTTGACAGCAAACTGCTGCCCTGTCTCTCTGTTGATGCATCTCCTCACCACACTGAAGGGGCCCCTGAACAAGAACATCAGAAAAAGAAAGACTATTAGCACAGTGTAAGACTCCTGTAAAATCCTTCTCAAAAAGGGACAAAACTTTCATAAAAAGCAGAGGGACGTCATACAGTATTTGTCCTCTGTTGCACTGTTAAAAACAGGAAATAGAAAAAGTTAAAGTAAAGTGGTATGATGGAAGACGCTCAAAGTCTTTAAAACCTCAGTAGAAAAGTGCTGTGCTACAACACAACCATTATTATAAGTATACAGGTGACAAGTTAAGTTCATTGCAAAAATCAATGCAGACATGTTCCAGTTTTTATTATTTTACCCTGTTCCATAATGCAACTTGTTTTTATTTCATTTTATATCACTACTTTTATTGACTTTTCATTTTATATGCTTTTGATGACTGTTTATCGTTGTGTGTACCTCATTTGTGTTGGGTTTTTTTTGTATGAAACAGATCTCTTGAAAATGAGTCCTCATGACTCAATGAGACTAACCTGTAGAAATAAAGGTTGAATGGAAAAAAGTGGTCATGTAAATACAGAAATTAAAGATTCATGATAAAAATAAAAATAAAATGAAAAAAAAAAACAGTTTTGTAGAAAAAAAGTTAAAATTATTGTGCATTTTGCTTTTTCTTATTGAGTTTTTGTTTCTGAATCAAATCACTAAAATAAAGAAACTCATACAAACCAAACTGTAATATATATATATATAAATCTGTCTAAATTTGAAACAAGTAAAAAATAAATCCTACATTTACTATTTGATGCAGGAGCTTAAAAGAAATCTTCTGAAGGCTCGTGTTTAACACACGTTTTGCAGCAGATCACCAGATAATCCAGAGCTCCACAAAGTCCCTCACTGTTTAGATAAAGAGTCCATGCAATGAATGATCCTGAGTGCAGAGTGCGTGCACCTGCAGTTAAGGGTTAAAGAGCCTACTCAGTGGTTCTGGGTTATAACTATCAAGTCAGCAGGTCAAGATGAAAGTGTAAACAGCAGAAATCAGGGTGCTTTATAAAGCTACTGTCTGTAGATGTTCTCCCTGCACCAGAGGCTCAAAGTGAACCCTACAAAATGGGTGAAAATCTCTCAAAACGTGTGTGTGTGTGTGTGTGTGCGTGCGTGCGTGCGTGCGTGCGTGCGTGTGTGTTTACAGATAAGTGAAGCTGCGCAGTTGATCTAGCCTAAGAATAAACAAGTAGTCTATCTGTGGACACAACTTGTACGTAATCCCATCTACAAGCCTGTCTATAGCTACAGTATTTATTCCTGGACTGTAGCACACAATGCACTGAGTGAAAGACAAAAACAGCAAGACTAGGACGGAATAAACAATCAGGATGTCTAAAATAACAGCCTGATAGGAAGGATCATATACAGTAGTCCCTCACTACTTTGCAATTCATTTAACGCGGACTCAGTCTATTGCGGTTTTTCAAAATAAGATTGGAAATGACACAATTGGCTGAAAGATGGATGAGCCACACGGTCGGCATGGAATTTTTATTTAAAATAAATTATTTTAAATTATTTAGCACCTGCTGCACCTTGGTAAAAAACGTCATCCTGCACCTTTTTGCAGCCCATACTGCAGGATAAGTTTCCTGCTGCAGCTGTTCACCTTGCAGAGTGGAGAAGTGGGCGTGGCCAAGAGCACTTGCAGGGGGCAAAGAGCAGCCGAGGCACAGAGCTGAAATCATGACATTCTGTGCTCTTTTAGCGCATTTAGAGTTTAGAAACATTGTTTAGAATATTGCAAAAGTGTGGGAAGGGTTTAAAACACCTATATATATATATATATATATATATATATATATATATATATATAGATC